CTCTTAAGAGATATATCAACAAGTTGCAGTGTAAATTCTTGGATCTTGATTGAAACAAACTGAAAAATATTTAGGGAAATTTGAACATTGATTGTATATTTGATTTAATCAATGGATTATTTTTATTAGTTATAGTGTTAAAGTGGTGCTATGGTTATGTTTTTAGAGAGTCTTTATGTTTTAGAAATACACACTGCAATATTATGGGTGTAGTGATGTCTCAGGTTTGCTTCAAAATGCAACATTGAGAGAGGAGGATGTGTAAGAAAAAAAAAGAACTGATTAATGATGAAGCTGGGCGATGGCTGTACTGCAATTCAGTCTACTATTGTCTCTTTATAAATGCTGGAATTTAAAATGAAAGATTATAATGAAAAGATTATATATGAAAGATTTTAGATAAAGATTTTTTTAAAACTTAAGTTGAAAACTATACTGCCTACGAATGTGGGGTTATTTCAAGATACAAACCAAAACTCACACAGCAGACTTTTATATCTCTTGATGTTAGTTTGCACTATGTAAAATTTGTCTATTTAATACCTGCACACATCTTGAGAGAGAAACTCCTGCATTTTAAATATTGATCTATTAAGTTAAAACTGAATTATCGGGCTTCCCTGGTGGCGCAGTGGTTGAGAATCCGCCTGCCGATGCAGGGGACACGGGTTCGTGCCCCGATCTGGGAAGATCCCACATGCCGTGGAGCGGCTGGGCCCGTGAGCCATGGCCGCTGAGCCTGCGCGTCCGGAGCCTGTGCTCGGCAACAGGAGAGGCCGCAACCGTGAGAGGCCCGCGTACCGCAAAAACAAAAAACTGAATTATCACCTTTTTTTCCATCAGGTAAAAATGTTCAATGGTATTAGTCTAAATCACATCATGGAATACTTTAATATTAATTTCTCTTTGCTTTTTATCTCTATCAAAGTTTCATCCTCACCTGTTTACCATCTCCACTTTCATTTCTGGCCAAATGCAGGAATTAGTTCTCTTGACTTTCATTTTCTAATAATAATTTAGAATTTATCTTCAGTTCCCATTTATTGTGATTCTTTTCTCCTTTTACTTTCCTATCAGATGGTTTTGGCTTGAGTGAATCATAAATGTCTCTAGTTTCAATCCTAAATTTTTTTTTCTCTATCTCATCTTTAATGAATATACTACCATTTCTCTTTTTTGCATGAAACTGTAGAGTCACTATTGATTTTTCAAAATCTTCACAGTTGTTGACTCCAGCCTCGGTCTGTATTCTGTGATTTTTGTTATTGTCTCAAAACCAGATTTGCCTTTCCAGTGACATTCGGGTTAGACTACTGTTCAGATCACCTGCCCTGAATCAACACCAGATGTTAGGGAAGCTATTTTGAAACTTAAAACCTATCATCAAAGCTGCTTATCACTATTCCTAGAGAATCTACTCACTACTTTTCTCCCTTTTATTTCTGGTTCCTATAGATGGAATGCCTTCTTACTTGAAGCCTGTTAATACGAAACCAAGTATTTGTTGTAGCAAATATGTTATTATTCAGGTATATTCATCAACCTTATGACCTAGGTTCTTCTGTGTAACTTTAAACTCATGGAATTTTACTTCAATGCATATCTCTGACACATTGTTTAGCAAAGCAGTTGGGAAGTACTGCTAACCTGCTAACTACCCAGATATACTGGAGCAGGTATTAATCTCTCTGCTTCCGTTCTCCTTGCCTGTTACCTTCTGAGCTGGACTCTTTCACCTTATAACTTCTCTGAATGTCATCTCTTTTTCCAGCTTCTTTTGTTTCTCTTTTGGAACTCTTCTGAAATCTTTCCCATGTTACTTGTTTGATGCTGTGGATTCTTCATCAGCATCTAGAGAGCACCTCACACTTTTCTAAAAAAGAGGATATCCTGAAACTTCCTAAATTGACACTTCAGCATTGTAGACTAGAATTGTGGATGGTGTGCTATCACATAGATATGCTCTGTCTGCCTAATATGCGTTTTCAGTTGATTGGGTATTTGCTAAAAGTGGGTGATTTAAATTATCTACCTGCAATTTGATCCTTATAGATCTCTAGTTTTTAGTCTTGCGAGTGGTTAGTATGCATTTAAAGGAAACTGTGAATTGATATGTAATATAATTTACATTTTTAGTAGTAAGATATTAAATTCTTACTTTATATAATTCATGGATATTTGTTACAAAGTGAATGTTGTAGGTTTTAGTACTTTCTCCCATAGTCCATTCAGATTGCAGTGACTGTAGGGAATTTGGTGGTGCCAGTGTTCATAGACAGTTTCCAAAGCATAGTTATGGAAGGGGACACACAAAATCACGCATCCGTGTGATCTGTCCAGATCCTGGGACAGGAAGCCTACTTCACGACAGGGCTAGATTTAAGTCATCTGATGAGGAAGGAGGGGAAACAGTTTCGTCTCAGAAGGGTTACTCTGTTTTTACTTTAGTGCCTAAGTTTTCCCAAGAAATTTCTTTCCAGCATTTTATTAACTACTTACCTATCTTTCATCCTGATTACTCTAATTTGGGATATTTGACTGTCTAAAGGTTTTAGCAGCTTTCTTTTGTCCCAAATAAGTCATTTAACAAGTTTTTCTGTTTCTTTCCTGCTTCAGTGCATTTGACACCTTTCTGGAACTTCTTTGGCCTCTAAGATATAGTTATTATTCTTGCTCTGAATCTACTTTCAGGTAATTTCTCTCCTCTTTAGGAGCTATGGTCACTTGTGCCTAGTCAGACTCCTGAGCTTCAGTCTGGGCTGTCTGGAGGGCCATCACATTAATCTGGATGGCTGTCTGGAGGGCCATCCATCTCAGGCATGGACTTGAGATAACGTTGTTCGGACCCATGGACTGTTGATTACCGGCCCCCCAAAGGAGAGGCTTCCTTGTTGGTAGAGAACAGGTCAGATACCTGTGTCTGGGGACAAATTGTACATCCAAGGGAATTTCAAGCAAAAGTCAAATGAACAGAGGAAGATGAAACAGGCTGTAATTTATTATAAAAATTAGGCCCAGGAAAGAGATGCTTCACAAACCGCCTGAACTGGAGAGAAAGTTCTCACTCTCACAGGGTGCCCGAAGAGGATCAGAAGGAAGCAGAAAAGAGCAGAGGTTGCCAGAGATAGGAAGCAGTGAACCATCAGAATATGAATAAAATAACCACTGCTGCCTTTACGAGACTAACGAAGGAGATTTTTCTGTTTCCGTGGTGCCGCGTGCCTCCGTGCTCTAGGCGCTCCTGCTTTTCAGCCTCTTGCGTATTTACTACATATTCTCGTGTTTTCTAGTTCCAATGTGACCTCATTCACATTTTCATCAACTAAAGTACCAGTACTCAGAGACTAGCGATCACTTCTCTTCCTGAACGTCTGCTGCCAGGCGCTGTTCTTGGTGCTTTCACATTATTTCATCTTCATCACAAGATCAGTATTATTATCGCTACTTATAGATGAAGCCGTTAAGCAGCCATTTAGTCAAGGTCGCACAGCCAGCAGTTATGCAACAGGGATCTGAACTTCGGCTTTTCTTCTCAGGTTTGTGATTTTTCCATTTCACCTCAGTATAATGTCCTCTTATCTCCTTCCTGCAGTCTCTCCTCCTGCAGGCTTAATCCCACTTAGAGTTACTCAAATACTGTCTTCTTTGGTACTTCCCTATTCAGAAATGTAGAGTTACTCTGTTGCTTTTCCTCAGTTGTAAATACTGCATTCAAAGCTCTTTTCTACACCTCCCACCTTTTCTTCTGTCCTGTTGCCCTGCTGCCAAGTATCAAGCCCTGCTGCCAAGTATCAATACTTCACAGAAGTATTGATACTTTCCTTTTGCATTACTAATACCATACAGTGCTCTGCATTTGGAATACTCTTTGCCTTCTATGTCTTCATAGCTTTCCTTCTGATTTGGTTACTTTTCCCACAGATGTTCCATGTTCCTCCTCTCCTAAAAATTCTTGTTCAAACCTTTTGTGATTGAACCCATTTGCTGCTTATTTCTAGATGACATTCCTTCTTCCCTTATAGGCTCGTCTCTTGGTATTCATAGGAGATTAGTTCCAGGACTCCCACAGATACCAAAGTCCATGGGTGCTCAACTCTCTTGTATAAAATGGAGTAATATTCTCATATAATCTATGCATATCCTCTCATATACTTTAAATCATCTCTAGATTTCTTATAATACCTACTACAATGTAAATGCCATGTAAATAGTGGCTGGCATGCTGGCAAATGCAAGTTTTGCTTTTTGGAACTTTCTGGAATTTTTTTTCCCCAAACATCTTTGATCCACGGTTGGTTGAGTCTGCAGATTCGAAACCCAGGGATCCACAGGGTCGACTGTATATTCACTGTGTATTGCACTGCTCTGTATTTGCTCTTTGGGTTGTTGCAGTCGTAAATTCTTGCATTATAAACAACTATTTAAGCTCCTTTCAGGTGGATACTCTTGCCCTTTTGTATTTCACATTACCTCAAAGCACCTGGTAGAATTTTTGATCCAGAGATCATTTAAGCAATACTGACTAACTCAGTCCATTTGAAGTCTGTGTTTTAATCAGATAAAACTAATGGTGTGGTCATGTATAATAATTTAAATCATGGCATTTGCATCAAAAAAAATAGGATAATGATTTTTTTTTCACAAAGTTGGTACTTACAAAATCACAGTATACCAAATGGGGTAAAACAAAGCAATCCCCACACCAAATGCACAGGCTATAATTTGTTTTGCTTAAAAACTGTTGTATTCATCATGCATGTGATGACATTTACATACGAAGACATTTGAAATATTTAGATGTTGAAGGGTATCCAGTAGTTTCCCTTTTTCTCACCCTTTTTTCTTTAACACGTGAGTCCCACCTATGGCATAAGTTGCCTGGCAAATACAGACTTGTACTAAAACCAAAAGCTGCCCATGGCACCTCTCAGAGATGAGAATTTGAGGGTAACTCTTGGAATTGTGCTAGCCGATTTCAATCCTGTGTTTTCTTTTTTCAGGTTTCCTGAAATGCAGTTTTTCCAACAAGAAAATGTGAGAAAAATTCTTACAGATGTTCTTTTCTGTTATGCTAGAGAAAACGAGCAGTTGCTTTATAAGCAGGTAATGAAAATATCGTACAGGTGGCATCCATTGACTCAGAATTTTCTATACAGCTTGACAAATGATAGAGCAATAATGTAGCCTTTATTGTATCCAAAGTTGCATCATAATAGTAAAGCAATCAAAGAGCTGCTTGTCAGCTGCATGGTGAGAAAGGTAAGCTCATTGACGCACATATGCTTCTTCCTTATTATAAGACATTCCACCAAATTGTCTTCTATGAGGCATTCAATCTTTGCTTTCAACTTTTGAGAGTTTGTTTATAAACAGCATCTTTGAAGGCAATCTAGTAATAAAGCTTTTCAGAGTTGTATATATAAATATTGTTTCTAAGTACAGCATTTATAAATATGTGGCATGTCATGTAGAGAATAATCAAATGTCCTTTTACTCTTCAAAATCTACCCGTAATATAACTGCAGAAAGTTCCTTTAAACTTTCTGAAATTTATATGATATTCTTGTGATCTTGATGTTTAATTCATCTCATTATTAAAGAAGATTATTGGATTATGTTTATTCTTTTCAAAATGTAAATTTTTAATTTAATCTATCAAGAAGTATCTAGGTTTTCATTTAACCTTATGGGGTTCCAATAAAAATACGCAAAGTTAGATATTTTTATGTATTTCTCAAAATGCATATTAAGTGAGAATTCAAACTATATCAATAAATTCTCCAGCAATCCAAAGTTATGACATCCAACTGATGACAACCCAAATTCAGTGTAATATAACAGAGAACATCTGCATGGTGAGAGCAGTGTATTTAATTTGAGATAGACTTAATTTGTTTAAAGATAATAAATCAGGTCATATTACAGTTGTCCTAAATAATGTATTTGTTATTGTGTACATAGAATATCCAAGGGAACTAATTTTATCTTAGTTTCGATACTAATAATATGTCTTTATATTAATTACATGGTGATATTTAGCTTTTAGAATGGGAAATGGAAAAATATATCCTACTCATAATGGCAAGCAAAACTATAAAATGTCTAAAAATAAATGTAATAATATAAAATCAAAAGCTATATGAAGAAAACTATAAATGTTATTGGAGCAAGAGTTGAATAAATAGAAAAGTGATAACGTGTTTTTAGGTGGAAGACATTAAGTAAAAATATTACTTCTTCCCAAATTAATATATAAATGTGTTATCATTCCATTGATAGTCTAAGTGAGAGATATGGTTTTTAAAAACCGGGCACAGTGATTTTAAATTTTACACCAAGAAGCTTTATAGTCATTTCAATGGTGATAATACAGCTTAGTGGTTAAGATCACTGGCTCTAGACTCGGATCCCTTGATTTGAATCTCGGCTCCAACACTTTAAGTAGCTACCTTGTCTTAGACAATATACACATGTAACTTTTCTAATCCTTAGTTTCGTTGATGAGGGCAATAATAGTATTGACTCTGTAGAGTTAAAGACATGTGGTGCTCATTATGAGTTCATGTTGGTGGCTGTGATGGTGATCATTGCTACAGTCAGTATTAAATATGTTGGAGCTGCCACAGAATTCAGGGGAAGGGGAGAATGGCACAGGGAGATCTGAAAACTGTTATAAATGTTCCGTGATCAAACCAATGCGACAGTAATGTGGGAACTGAGAAATAGATCAGTGGAACAAGCTAAGAACAGGTTCAGTTGTAAACGAGAGCTTCATATAAGATAGGACGTTTTCTTTCAATGGGAAAAGGATATTGACGTGCTGTATTTGGCTTTCTATCTAAAAAAGATTAAATTATACCATTATTGGGAGAAGAAATTCCAGATGGAGTAAAAATATCATTATAAAAACTAAAATTACATAAAAATTCTGGAAAAAAACATTTAGGAGAACTTTTTTTTTATAATCTCAGGGTAGGAAAGGTCTTCCCAAGCAAGACAGGCTATTCAGGTCAGATATAAAGTGCAAAGACCAAAAACAAACCAAAAAGGAGACTGGGAGAAAATAAATCTCAATCAGTATATCAGGAGTTTTTGGAAGCAAATAACAGAAAATTCCATTCAGAATGACTTACAGTCTAAGGACGTTATTAACACACTTTGCAGGAAGTCTGGGGGCAGAATGTTTCCACAGCATTTGTTAGTTCAGTACCTCAGGCTCTTCACCAGTGATCCAGGTTTATTTCTCTTTTTCTCTTCTCCTCTTCTCATTGTGTTGGCTTTTGTCATCAAGCCTGTCTCCTCAGCGTGCCCTCTTCTCTTGCAAATATTTGGAAATATCTCACAGTAAAAGATTTGATGATAACAGATCAAGTCAGAATAAAATTATCCCAAGTTATACATTTGTTTCCTCTTTTTCTTTTGAGAAAGAAAAATCTAGATTCAGGAAATCTTATAATAATGGAAGCAAGTTCCATGGACAAGGAACCAAAACATCGTAACTGCACCATCCACCGTTTGTGAGGCACGCAGCCCACTGCGTTTGTGAGGAAGCCTATAAACAGATCAGACTCTTGATCACTTAGACAAAGTCTATCAATTACTGAATAGGAAAGTATTATTAATTTACTCTTGTGGATCACTTTCTAAGATTTAAATTACTCCCTGTTAATGTTAAAAATTCTATAGATTCTTTACATAGGAATAATCCCGTGCTGTAAAAGGACTGAATATTTTAGCCAGATCAAATTTAAGAAAAAACCTTAAGTTTCATCACAAGCTGCTAAAGCTATTATTTTGTACTAGGTGACACCCCGTTTAACATCGACCATATTGTTAATAGTTATGGGATTTTATTGAATTAATGAGACTGTTATCATGTAGTAGAATGTCTTGCTGAGTTAATTGAAACTGCAGAGATTATATAAATGGTATTAATGAACTTTGACTGCCTGATGCCTCAGCTTTAATAAAGACTGCTTGGTGGGCTAAATGAACACAGGCAGATAAAAGAACACGTTCAATTTTGTGAGCCTACAGGCTGTTGATGAGGAAAACTTTGTTACCTTTCTTTTCAACTGGCATGAGTTTGGAGTGCAGTGACTACTAAGGATCCAGCAGGGAAAAAGGCTGTAAGCAAGCAGAAACGCTAATGGTGTGGATGGACGCAAAATACACATCTTGGGAACGAAGAAGTGTACCGACAATACATTCTTTTTCATTATGCTTTGTCAGATTTACAGCATATTGAATTTATGATCATTCTTTCCAGATAGTTCCCTTTTCCTTTAAAGATGTCTGTTTGCTTGCCACTTGTAATTATTAATCAGGTTTTTACTAGTCTAGAATTGAGAGTAAAACAAGTAATCTCTTACAAGTCTATTCGAGAAAAATATCCCTAGTTTGGTTGGAAGTCAACACTGAATGTGTAAAAGATTGTCTTAATGGTATTCAGGGGACTCTTAATTTCCATTATACAAAAAGCACTTATTTATTGATGGGAAATATTGAAATATAATTCAGGATGATTCTTTTCCATTTCTCATCTTATCGTAGTTCAGCTTTTACCCTTGTGTTGATAAGTGAAATATCTACCCCTCACTATATTGAGTGGAAGCTATTTCATTCATTCAGTCACTATGCAGTGAGCACCTTGTATGTGCCGAGCCTGTAGGAGGAGCTGGGTTTGTCTGTGTATGTATGTACATACGTATACATATATGTATCACTTGTCCCAGTTTATAACCTACAGTACTTCTGTGCTCATTTTATTATTGTGTGTCTTGCTGTTTAGACTGCAGGCTCCGTGATGGTCAGGAGTTTGCCCACTCCATTCACTTTTGTGTTACCAGCACGTCATAGGTAGTTAATAGATAATTTTTGGAATAAATGCAGGTGAATGATGCATGAGCAAAATCTGGAGAAAGGAGTGTCACAGAAACTAGAGGGAAGAGAATGTTCAGGGAAGGTGAGAAGATACATTTAGGCAAGAACCTTTTCGTATTAAAGCAGCCTTAATTAGTTAGAAAGCATACTGCAGGGAAGAATTCTATTCAGAAGATCTCTGCCGCCACCACCATCACCACCAACACCCAAAGCCTAGTAAGAAACCTAATAAAAACTATGCAGTTCCACATATTTTTGGATTGGAAGATCTGGCGTTCTTAAAGAAGTCTGTTTTCTTCAAGTTAATTTTAATGCAATGGCAATAAAAATTGCAGTATTTTGTTTAGCATTTTATGTAACTAAATTACATTTTCATTTGGATGAAAAGATGTTAGAATAGGCAAGATAATTTTGAGAAAAAGAATAGAAAATATGGGGAAATGGAGTATTTTACAGCCCAAGACATTACAGTAGTAAAGTTCCTGTTGAGAGTATATAAACCAATGGAGCACCAGTAAAAACTCAGCAAACATGAGAACTAAATATTCAGCTTATGAAAAGATGACATTTCAGAACCCTTGGGGGAAGACGGGTTATTCAGTAAATGGTGATTATTCAGTAAGTTAGTGTAACACTTTGGGAAAGAAAAATACATATTATTCTTCAGGGCAAAATTAAATACCAGGTGGGTAAAGAATTAGCTGTAAAAAAGGAACCTGTATATTTCATCTAATCTCAACATGAGGAAGGTCTTTTTGCCGTAAAAGCAAAATAAGAAATCATGGAAGATGATTTATTGATTTGACTGTTTTAAAGTATACAGCTTTACTGTGACATAATCAAAATTAAAAGGCAAGTTATAAACATGGGAAGGCGTTTGTAACAAAAATAACTAAGGGTTAATTTCCTGAATTGCTGAAGAACTATTACAAATCATCAGGAGAAGGGAGACTCTTCATTAGGAGAAAATGGGCAATTCATTAAATAAAAATGACCACTGAAATGTTTGTCTTCAACCTCACTAGCATTTAAATAAGTTAAAACAACTATTTGACTGTAGAATTTGACAGGATTTTTAAAAAACACTACAAATAAAGATGAGGGTATGTGAAATGGCGATTTTTATGCCCTAAAGTGAGGGAATTATTTCTAAAGGGCAGGTTAATTGTATATATCAAATGTCTTATTAGCTCATTTACCCAGAAATTTTACTTCTTGGGACTTTATCCTAAGGAAATTATCAGAAATAAGTAAAAAAGATTACCGCAAAGATATCTATCACAGTTTTAATTTTTCTTCCTTTTCTCTTTTGGCCTTCCTTCCCTTCCTTCCTGCCTTCCCTCCTTCCTTTTTTTTTTTTTTGTTTTTGTTTTTGTTTTAGATATTCTGTAGTTCTGTGCAGTAAGTAACTATTAACTTTCATGATTAAAATTATGTCACTTGGTCTTTGGAATAATTTGAGATTATTTTAGAAGAATAAACCCCTCATAATGATTTTAAAGCACATTAGCAACACTTAATTCCATTCTTTATGGGTGTGTACCAAGTTCTTCTAAGGAATAGTCTTTTCAAGATTTGTTTAGCAGGAGACGGTCACCTAAAAAGATTGAAGTGATGTGTGGTAATTTGTCCCAAATCACAAGTAAATTGTCAATGGATCATAAATAATTTTGTAAAAAGTGTAATTAAGTCCTTCTCATTCAAGGCTAGTGATAACTTATAAATGAACTCTGACAGAGTTTCCTTTTGTATTACTTTATGATAGTAACTAGCGTCCTACGAACAGCACAGAGCTGCCAGACCGTGCAGAGGTCCGTGTGGCTGTCTTTCCATCACAGGAGATTTTCTCTAATCCCATCGGCAAAAACTCTCTCTTCTCTCGGCTTCAGTATTTTATTGTTATTTCCTGTAGAAGCGGGGTTTTGTCTTCTTTTTTTGTAAAAGATCATCGTAGGCAAAAGGAAAATAGTGACACACTTTAAGAGGCAGAAAATAGTACAATCCATTTTTAACTTGCGAAAATATGTTTTTGATGCCTAAGTAGGGAAAAAAATCTCAGCTAACAAGGCGGGTCACTGATGTGGAATATCTTATTTCCTCACAAGAATGGATAAATAATGGATTTTTATAATACTCCTTTGAAAGGCAACTTAGTAACCAATATACCTTTTTGTTTCTATGCCTATGTATGTAATCCACAGGTAAACACGATATAAGGAAAAAAAAAGTTGTATTGGTGAAATCACTAAATGAATTGAAAAGTAAACTTATCGTTGAAGTAGACAGGAAAGAAAATTATGGCCATCTTGGCTTAAACATGTTGAAAATCGTACTTTAAAAGCTTCGTTTTCTCTCATACCTGCTAAAGGTTGTTTCTTTTATTATCCAGCATTTCCAGCTAGCTGACTTCAGCTCTTCCTAAATCTACAGACATCCTAATTTTGAGCCATTATATAATGAAAACATTGGATGTAATTTCCTTAGGTCTACAGTTCTTAGTTGCCCTTCTTACTGCAGATCTTTACACTGTAGCATATGATTATAATTTGCATAAATGAAATTCATATTTATGAGTACACATCCTGAAGCAACTGACAGGTGCAAGGTTGTCTACCATGCCGATTTATTGTTTGTTGTGTCATTTAAAAGAGAACTGCTCTCCATGTTTTAAAGAAGAATACCTGCTGTGGTAGAATTGGAGTCAAGTTCTAAAACTAAATAAAAGCTCACTTTGTAGGTTTTTATGTTTATGCTCTTCTGTATAATACGAAAATGCCTGGGGCGGGGATCAGCTGCAGAGGCTTTTAGCTGAGCCCGTCTGTCCACCAGTGGAGTCCGGACATGCCCCCGTCCCTTTCTCTGGCTCTATTTCAGGGCATGCACGAGCTGTTGGCTCCAATGGTCTTCACCCTCCACTGTGACCACCAAGCCTTTCTTCATGCCAGTGAGTCTGCGCAGCCAAGGCAAGTTTGTATATGAGCTCCATCTATTTTGTCAGCCCTGCTGTAATCCTTTTTTAACCTCAACACCTTTTCTATTGAAGGTATTTTGTAAATTGTGAACATTTGGTTGTGTTTCATGTGGCTGATGATTAATTCCGCTTAATAACTGTAATCCCATTTCAGCTATGGGGCAAACTTGGAATTCTAAATATCTTTGCAAGTCTTAGAGCTGTACCAAAGGAAGACATGTAACTGATGGATCAAGAAGAGGAAATTTTTGTTGTAATGGCAAAGTGCTGATGATTGTTAATATTCATACGTTCTATCCTCCAGTGGCCCATTCTTTCACAGTAAGCTGTAAGAGAACCTTATGTGTGAGATATTTTGTCCTCACCAGACTCAGTTCAGTTCATAAATAGAACAGTCCCCCAAAGAACCCCAGTATAAAGAAACAAAATGACTTCTCATGTTTTTGAGATACAATTACTGAAGTTATTTGCTGAGATAATAAATTAGTGTATCTTGTATTTAACTTAGGCCGATTGTTAGAACTTATTTTCTAACTTAAGATACCCTAACTAGATGGGCCAGAGAGGCAGCCGGGAAGCATCTTGGGACTGGAGAGCTGAGGGATTATAAAACTTCCTCAGGAATATTCCACAGGCTAGCCTCTCTCTGTGCCGAAAACAATGGATTAACATATAATATTTCATGTGTTTATCTATATGATCTTTATTCATCAAATGTAGCCATCCATTTTGCTGAACATATATTAGGGCATTTGTCAAATCAACTTTTGTTTACTATATTGTAGATTAGTATCTTCTAGTTCCTTTGAGTTTTTCTAATTATACTAAATTTATTGGATCTGACTATAGTAACCATATCTTAGTTGCTGTTGCCTCAGTTATTCTGAAGTACGATAAGGTTGCAGTTAGTATTGGGATCCTGTTTTCATGCCAGTTTTATCTTTTTAAAAACACATATGCAGAATATACTCCATAGGAAAGTATACACGATTGCAAATTGCTTTTTTAAAAAATAGCTTTTAAATGAGTTCTACATGCTTCTTTAACTGTTTCAATCCTTTATAAAGTAAAAGCAGCACGAAAATAGATTTGGAAGAGGTGCTGTCACTGATTAATTGATGTTAAAACATAATAAAAATAGAAGCCATTGAAAGAAAATAAATTACTCTTTTAATATGGGATATTTGACCAGTAACTATATATTTTTTTGTTTCGTTTTGGACAAGTGATAGACTGTGGAATAATCAGTTGATTCTAGATCAGGCACATTCAAGGAATGTATTGTCACATTCAGTTTTGTTATTTGGAATAATTAGATAGTTGCCTCATTGTGGTACAGACAGGCAGCTGATTTGTTTTTGATCTTTATAGAAAGAAATGATTTCGTTTGTTAATGGAGTTGCTCTTTTTATTGAAAAAAGGCTAACTCTTTTTCATTTACACACTATATGAAAGTTGGCTTATGAGTATAGAATAAGGCAACCTCTGCATCTCCTTCAATTAAAAAATTACACATTCTGATTGATTGTATCGCTTTTTTAAGTGAGGAAATGAAAACTCTCTTGAACCCTGAGTATCTGGAACATGATGCCTAGTAAGTACAAAAACTTTCTGTTTTTATTTTTTTACGCCATTTTTACTTTAATGAAGATTTAACATAGGCGTTATGTTATTTTTCTAATTTTTAGTGCAATGTTCTCACAACTTATGGAAACTGCTGAACCTTGGTTTTCTACTTTTGAGCATGATGGTCAAAAGGTAAATCTTACAGTACAGATCTTTTCAATATATTTGAGGGAACAAATGATTTTAGTAACAACATATAATCAGAATAAAAGCCATTATTATCACTATAAAAAAATGAAAATATGAAGATACCTGTGGAGTAAGTTTGAACTGGGGGTCTAAATCATATCTCTAATTGTTGACAGATTTACCAAGGTAAGATAAAAATTTTCATATAAATAAATAGAAACTTTCTTTTATATGTGCATGTATTTTGCATGCAACATAATTTCATAAAAACTATTATAAACTTTGAATGAAAAGAGTATTTATCTACTTGATCTGTGCTGCCCTGGTGAGTTGATAGGCACGGAAGTGTGTAGATAAACTCTGTGTCGAATAGGTTGTTTTGCTTTTACTAATGCATCACTAAATTGAATTTATATGTTTAGCATCAATACCATTTATCCTTACTCTCTCTTACCCTTATTCTTTTTATTTTCCTAATAATTTTTATTGGAATATAGTTGATTTACAATGTTGTGTTAGTTTCAGGTGTACAGCAAAGTGAATCAGTTACACGTATACATATATCCACTCTTTTTTAGATTCTTTTCCCATATAGGCCGTTACAGAGTATTGAGTAGAGTTCCCTGTGCTATGCAGTAGGTCCTTATTAGTTATCTATTTCATGTATAGTAATGTGATTTTGTCGATCCCAGTCTCCCAATTTATCCCTACCCCCCCACACCTCCTGTAACCATAAGTTTGTTTTCTACATCTGTAACTCTATTTCTGTTTTGTAGATAAATTCATTTGTACCCTTTTTTAAGATTCTGCGTATAAATGATATCATATGATATTTTTCTTTCTTTCTCTTACTTCACTCATATGACAATGTCTAGGTCCAGTTTCATTCTTTTTATGGCTGAGTAATATTCCATTGTGTATATGTACACATCTTTATCCACTCCTCTGTTGATGGACATTTAGGTTGCTTCCATGTCCTGGCTTTTGTAAATAGTGTTGCTGTGAACATTAGGGTGCATGTGTCTTTTTGAATTAGAGTTTTCTCTGGATATATGCACAGGATTGGGATTGCTGGATCCCATGGTAATTCTATTTTTAGTTTTTTAAGGAACCTTCATACCATTCTCCGTAGTGGCAATACCAATTTACATTCCCACCAACAGGGTAGGAGGGTTCCCTCTTACCCTTATTCTTTAACTGTAATTTTTATTGTGAAATAGTTAACATACCGTAACATTCACCTTTTTAAAGTGTACAATTTATTGGGTTTTAGTATATTCACAAGGTTGTGCAAATGTCCCCACTATCTAATTTCAAAGCATTTTCAACACCCTAAAAGGAAATCCTTTTAGTCCCATTAGCAGTCACTCCCCATTTCCCCCTCCCTAGAGCCTTGGGCATCACTAATCTACTTTCTGTTCCTTTGGACTTGCCTGTTCTGGACATTTCATATAAATGGAATCATACAATATGTGACCTTTTGTGACTGACTTTTTTCACTTAGCATGATGTTTTCACTGTTCATTCATGTTGTGGCATGTGTCAGTACTTCATCCCTTTTCAGGGCTAAATAATGTTTCATTGCATAGATATATGCCACGTTTTGTTTTTCCATACCTCAGTTGGTGACATTTGGGTTCTTTTCACTTTTTGACTATTAAGAATGATGTTGCGGGCTTCCCTGGTGGCGCAGTGGTTGAGAGTCCACCTGCCGATGCAGGGGACACGGGTTCGTGCCCCGGTCCGGGAAGATCCCACATGCGGAGGAGCGCTTAGGCCCGTGAGCCATGGCCGCTGAGCCTGCGCGTCCAGAGCCTGTGCTCCGCAACGGGAGAGTCCACAACAGTGAGAGGCCTGCGTACCGCAAAACAAAACAAAAGAAAACAAAAACAAACAAACAAACAAAAAAGAATAATGTTGCTAGGAACATTTGTATACAAACTTTTATGTGAACATATGTTTTCAGTTCTCTTGGCATATCTCTAGGAGTGGTATTGCCGAATTAACTGTCATTTTAAACAACCATATATGCTAACTTAGAGATCATTTATTGGAAAAATTGCAAATTATTCTGGCAAGGGCTGTTGTTAAGAGTTTTTGGTATATTATTTTCTATATGACTAATTTATTTTATGTTAGTATAATTGAATGAGTTCTAGTTAGAAACCACGTATTACTCAGTCCCTTCACTCCGTCTCTTAGCAAATGAGATGGATAACTAATGCTTTTTATGCCTTTGGTCGAGGTCAGGGCGAACTACTGCCTGCAGGCCCATTTGGCCTGCCATCTGTTTTTGTGAGGCTTGTGAGTTAAAAATGGCTTTTACATTATTAAATGGTTGAAAAAAATATCAAAAGAGGAATAGTATTTGGTGACGTGAAGATTATATAGAATGCAAATTTCCATGTCCATAAAAAAAGTTTGGTGGGGATACAGCCATGCCTACTTGTTTACTTACTGTCTTCGGCTGCTTTCTCATTACAAAGGCAGAGCTGGGTGGTTGCAGCACAGACTGTATGACCTGGAAGGTCTCAAATGTTTACCATCTGGCTCTTTCCAGGGAAAGTTTGTCTACCCCGAGCTTAGGTGATAAAGTCTTACTCCGGCTGTATATCACCATGCTCCATTCCGTAAGGGTTGTTACAAGGGAAGTTTGCTGTAAGCATGTGTGATGAACAGTAGCTCTATATTCTCAGCAGGTGATCTGATGGAGTCATAGACTTATGTGAACATCAGATTTTGAGCAGAGTTTTTGAAGACATTTAATTAACAGACCTCATGATCATTTTACGCAGTGGTCATTTTGTATTTTATAACTGATTCACAGCATCTGAGAAACTGAATGGTAAAAATGAGAGGGCTGCCAGTTTTTACTTTTACTTATTCATATTGCTTTCACTGAATCATGTCATGAGAATGGTAAGACAACACAAAGACATTTATTTTATCAAAGAACACATAGATGTGACCTCTGAGAATTTATATTAATTATTTGTGTGTATCAGTGCATAATATATTCCTAAAAAGCATATCTAGTGAATCCCTTTTTCATCCTCCCTTTTTGTTCTTTTTCATGATTCGATCATCTTTTTAAAAAGAAGTTCGAGAAACTAATGCATCACCCATCGTGCAGGTCTTCTAGTTTGCCAGAAAATTCAGTCATATCACTGTGCATGTTGGCTAGTTTAGCGATGTACATTTTATAGTAAGACTTTCTTGATGAAGGAAGCAGTGTGTTGGTTTACATAATGGTGTGAAATCATTATCTTGCTGCATTGCTCAGTCTGTGGCCTGGCAATGATCTGTAGAACACACTTTGCGTACCACTAATAAGTGGTTAGAAAAGTTTTCTAGTTTTATCGGTAGTTGTGGCTGTCTCATTTGATCATATATGTTATATGCAAGTAGCATTCTTTATAATAAGAAATCCTGAAGATAAGGAAGTGTTTTACATTTACTCTATCTTCACTGTTTTTGATTTTTTACTGTTAGATAAGCTGTGTGCTGTTTAGCATTAAGTGATCAGAAACATTACTTTCAAGTTTTTTAAGTTTAAGAGATTTTACTATAAAGTATTCTGAGCTCAGGGGAAATCCTTTTAAGTTAAAGCATCCTATTATTTGAAGAGAGTACTAGATGTTACAAAATCAGAAAAAGGTGTTTTGGATGTACTATTTTTATAATAAATGAGCACAATATAGAGGTTTCCCTTTCTCCTGTCTATACAAATTAACAACAATGAATTGAGCCCTAAAGATTAATATGGTCTTATGTCCTTTGGACCTAAATACTCTAGGGCAGACACTGTAGGAAGTCCAAAGGACTGCTTTTCTTTTTTAAGACTTGAAATGATCCTGGACAGACAGATGGAGCCCCTTCTCCCTGGACTGACACAGGACCCTCCCCTCCTCTCTTCTGTGCTTTCTACCAGCCTGATTAGTCACAGCTCTCACGCAGAATTCAGAGCTTTTTTTCTGTGTAGTTCTTCCCTCCAAATGATGAGGGCAAGAGCTTACCTTTTTTATCTTTATGCCCCTAATTGCAGTCCAGTGACAAAAAGATGTTATTCCTTTCAGAGATCTCACAGTTTAGGAGGAAGACAAGTAGAAATACATACTGTGGGAGCGGAGAAGAGGATAATGAACTAGACCTGGCACTTGAGCCAAATCTTAAAATACACATGGGGGCTCCTCAGTGGGGAGGGGATATTTCAGGTAAAAGAATGGCATCCCCAGTATCTCTGGAAGCACAGTGAGAACAGAACTAGATGATGGAAAGCCTTGCCGACCTGGCTAAAGAATTCAAATTGTTTCGTTTTGTTTTTCCCAGAGTGAAAATAATGGGGAGCTATTAAAAATGTCTAAGGAGGGACTTCCCTGGTGGTCCAGTGGTTAATACTCCGCACTCCCACTGCAGGGGGCACGGGTTCAGTCCCTGGTCGGTTGGGGAACTAAGCGTGCTGTGTGGCATGGCCCAAAAAAAAAAAAAAAGTGTCTAAGGAGGGCAATCTGGCATAATCTAATACCTGCTTTAGATAGATCACCAGGCATTTTGGAAGATGGATTTAAAGCAGACTAAATTGGGGGGGGGGCAGCAAGACGAGGAGCAAAGGAATGATTAGGGCCCCAAGTCAGGGTGTTGGCGCCGAAGAAGAGACATATACAAGAGTCCCCTGAGTGGTTCTGAGGAGCTACAATTGGCAAACCAGGTGTTCGTATTGGAGGATGGGTTGAGGTAGGCATGGGAGAGGATGAACATGTTTTTGAGCGGAAGGTGATGAGCTCAGTTGCAGGCCTGCTGAATTCGAGACCCTTCGGCAATCCAACATTCTTCGCCGACATTTGAGCGTGTGGGAAGCACTCCAGAGTTCTAGGTTACGAATACAGATTAGGAAGTCTTTGGAGAATGGGTTTTGGTTGAAGCACTGTGAATGACTGAGCTCACTCAGGGAACTGCATGTAAGTAGAGATTAAACTGAGACCAGAACTGTGTGAAAAAGCAGCATGTGTGAAACAGAAACAAGAATTTGAACTAGAGTAGACTGAGGATGAGTGACAGGCAGATAATCATGAGAGAAGATGCTATAAATCCCAGTATTGGAGAGAGGTAGAAACTGGGAACTGTACGTCAGAAGAAAGGTCAACCATGATATATTAGGGTATATCATCAGACTTGAGGGGGCAATTGACGTTTACATGAAAGCATTACAAGGAGTTACAGATCTTTCTTAATATTGGGTGGCAGGAATGGAAGTTGTACTGCCCACATAGATTTTTTTTTTTTAAGTCAGCTACATTTTTGGTCTGAAGAATTTAAAAATCTTTCTACCGAGCTATTTAAATTGATCAAAGGAAAGTTAGAGGATGTCTTCTTTTCTAGTACTGGTTTGCTTTATTTCTTGACTTTTTTATAGTTTTGAGAGCTCAAAGTAAGACAGTTTTTTTTTTTTTTTTTTTTTTTTGCGGTACACGGGCCTCTCACCGCTGTGGCCTCTCCCGCTGCGGAGCACAGGCTCCGGACGCGCAGGCTCAGCGGCCATGGCTCACGGGCCCAGCCACTCCGCGGCACGTGGGATCCTCCCGGACCGGGGCAGGAACCCGTGTCCCCTGCATCGGCAGGCAGACTCTCAACCGCTGCGCCACCAGGGAAGGCCAGGACAGTTTTCAATTACTTTTTTTCATGTTTAACTTTTATGCCACAAGAAATATATTTTCCTCAGAGTGTGCCATTTAGGAACTATGGCTGCTGCTGAGACAAACTGGCCATGGACAGATAGACTAGTGGCCACCACTACCTCTAGCCAAAATTATCTTATAAGACTTAATGTCACCAGATAAAGTGGTCGAGGGAATACAAGTAGAAAATTTTTAGAAGATATTTCAAGGCCTTTATGGGCACAGTCATCTATGTGACGATCAGTTTATGATCCCACATTTTAAGCTTTTTTCCTGCGTTGGTTAAAGTAGTTGTTGGTTCTTCTCTAAACTTCCATTGATAAATACGTTCAAGAATGATGTCCATGTATTTGTTAACTTCTCATTGAAATAAGACATGTTCCATTTTTCCTGTGTTTAGGGGAAAGAAACCCTGATGACTCCTATCCCCTTTGCTAGACCGCAGGATTTGGGGCCAACAGTTGCTATTGTTACTAAAGTCAACCAGATCCAGGATCATCTACTAAAGAAGCATGATATTGAGCTTTACATGCACCTGAACAGACTAGAAATTGCACCACAGATATATGGGTTGTAAGTATTCACGTTTAAATTTCAGCAACACCTAATTATGATTTATGGTGGTTTCTATATGTTTCAGATTCATAGAAGTAAGAGTAAGAGCTATGCCGGCTACATTACATTTCATATCTCCTTTTGTGTTCTGTGTGCCAGACTCTGTGCTCATTGCTTTCATATGTCCTGTTTCATCTAACGTTACCCCTTTGTTACAGAGGAAGAAACTGAGGTTTACAATAAACTTACACATATTGAACAGTGAAGTCATAATTCAAATCCAGGCAGAATTGGCTCTATAATCTGCAGAGCCAGTGTAAAATAAAAATGAATGGCCCTTTAAAAAAAAATTAGTGGGAATTTCAAGATGGCAACAGCAGATCATTAAACCAAGCATTCTGAGAAGTGCGGGGTCACACTGATTGTACACAGTGAAGCCAGCCCGGAACCCAAACTATCCTGTAAGATATTCATGTTCTTTCCATTTTATAGTGTGCTTATCTGCTCTACCCTCAGAAGTGCATTTCTAAAAGTAAGATAAATGTCCCTCACAGTGAAAATAATATATTAATCATCTTCAGCCAGATGACTTCTGTAACATGCTATAGCAGAATATGGGGCCAGTTACCCTTAGGTGTGTGTGTGTGTGTGTGTGTGTTTGTGTGTGTTGTGTGTTTGTATGCATTCAGTGGCTTATAACATAAGTAGGCAAATTAGAAAGATAGCAACTTTAATAAATATGAATTAGTGTGTAGTGCTACAGACAACAAAAGGATCCTTTAAATAGAAACAATATGACATTTATGTCTGGTGCTGGGCAGTTCCCTGGTAGATGTTTCCTGCAAATCCCATCTGTCAACTAGATAGAACGTGGAAAATTGAGAAGGAGTTACTGAGATATACATAGTAGATGCTCAATGAATATGAATTCATATTTCTGCTCTCCTGTTTTCATGGTGCCTGTTTTCATTTCTGTGACGTAAGCTTGATTTCATCATTGAGAGCAGCTCTGTCATTCCCAATGGAAGTGAGAAAGTTCTGGGGAACGTGGGTCCTCGGCAGCATTGTGCGTTATTAATGAACTGGCATTTCTTACACTTCAAAGTCTAGCTAATATATTTGTGATTATAGAGTAAAGATTTATTTTAAAATACCTCGTGGCAAGGTCAGGAGGCAGATTCTATATTCCTCTCTACTCTGCACTCAAAGAATTGGTTTACTCAAATACAGAAATCCATTTTATAGCCTCAAGAATTTTTGCGAGTCTAGAAATTGGTCTTAAATATTGAAGAAAGAAACTAATGTCGGACACGTTGATCATTTCTTTGAAGTGCTCTATTGTTTGTTACCTCTTTGGCCAAGCTGGTGCTTCACATTACGGTGGTCGAGGCATGGACTTGGGTACAATGATTTATAACTAGTGTGTTCTGGTTTCCTTATCAAACATTAGTTCACATCAGCTTTCTCTTCATAATAATGATTCATAGAGCTTCTTTGATATCCAGCCAGCACCTTCCCAATAAAATTCTATGATCCATGACATAATTACTCTTAATCCTTTCAAGTTTATTTTCAGCTGTACTAACAAAATTAGGGCTTGCGGTAACCATAGTTGACTCAGTTATCCCTTTATTTTTGTATAGAATCTCACCTGCATTATCTAAAAATATGTAATTGTTTTAATCTTTGAAGAAGTCATTCATTCTCTTAATTGGGCTGTACTACATTTTGTAGTGTAAGAGTGTTACTTTCTCATATCACTTATTAAAGTTGATTTTATTATTTCTATTTGTGGGACAGTGTGGTTGAATTTTCCTATGTGTTTATGCTACCCTAAGCTGTACTGCTCACCTGTATATTTCCTATTGATGACTGTTAGAATCTTTGGGCCCAAAGGATAATATCAGTATAATATAAAATAGCAGTTAGAAGCACAGGCTTTGAAATGAAACAGACCTGTTTAACCACCTAGAGCCTTGGTTTTTTCATCTGTGTAATGGAGATGAAAAATAGTGGTACCTGCTTCATGGAGCGCCTATGAAAATTAAATCATAATATATAAAAGTCAGTGTTCAGTTTGGAATAAATATTCAATACATGTTTAGCACTGCTTTTGTTGTCATTATCTGTCATCATAATTACTGAATTAGGATATCATGGCTCTATCAATGTGATGTACCATGTGATTCACGCACCCTTCCAGCTCTGGCTTTGGCTTTCTATGTTTGCTTCACTGAAGCATACAAGTTTCTACTTAAGTGGAAACATAATAGTTATCCTTTGCACCAGTGGTTCTCAAGAGATAGTGTAGAAGTGGAGAGTGAACTTTTAGAAACAGATCATAGCAATTTGGCACAATAATTTTATGTCCTTGAAGGTAATAAATTTTGTGGGTCTTTATCTCATGGAAATGAATTGAAATTGTTTCTTTTATATCATGCAAGTAATATTAATCTAAATAATTGCTGATGCTACTGTCTGTTGCTGTTGGGAGAAAGTTGTTTACATGGTGGAGAAAGGGTTATTTAGCAAAATGAAATTATATCCCATATTGAGTCCAGGTTTCTAATTTCAGTCACTCTTAGCAGTTGCATGATACATTAAAATTTATTTAAATCTGCCCTCTGATATGGGTGTGGTTATCTTTAAGAAAATGATTTTATAATTACCCTGTTTTTAGAAGTAGTTTTTCTTGTGTTTTTTATAGGAGAATATATGTGGGAGTCTCCTGATGTAGCAGATATGCCATATATAAATGCATCTGTTGCATATTGCTAATAAATGTATTTAACAGAATTAGAATTAATAATTAGTGTAAAAATATTAATTGTACAAACATTGGCTAAAGTCATTCCAAATTGGCTTATCTTAATTTTAAATCAATTGATGATATTTATCTTGAAATATGGGAGTAAGACCCCTTGAAATCTTGAATGGTATATGATAATTTGCTTATTAATGGGATTATTTTATGTATTTTAGTGCATTGTCTCCTGGATAATTGTAGCTGGTTTTTCTGTTAGGAAATGTTAAATCAACTTACTATTTAGGTTCAACAAAGTTAATTTGCAATTAAATATTTAATACTTTCTAAGTGATATTATAAAATAATATTTCCTAAAAGTAATTTATACTGTTTTTCATTAACTTTATGAAAGATTACTCCTGTTGCACCTAAAATGAAATTTCTCTTACATTAATTCAAATAATTAACATCTTGAGTTGTCTTTTGCTTGCCAATTATTGATAAGTATTAGACTTTTTAAAAATTAAGTTCTGTAGGGGCCTGTCAGTGCATGCCTACTAATTTCCAAAGTAAAACATTGACTGTATCATTTCCAACTTTCCAAGGTGATTTCTAAGAGTTGCTGTTTGGTATCTTCATTTTTAATATGAGATTAAGAATGTCCTGTGATTTCATCACTTGGGAATTATTTTTGTGCAGAAGCCTCTAAAATATTACTGTTACAGTTCCATCCCTGAGTATGTCTTGTTTTGAGTCCAAAAGACCTTAATCACAGCAGATTCAAATACAAAGATTCAATACTGTTTTCTTAATACTTAATACTATAAATACTCTTTTATAAAAAGACCAAAAATTGAAGTTTAAAAATAACAGTTTTTGCTAGGCCAGAGTAACTGTTTTATTATCACTCTTAAATATATTGAATCTGTATATTTTTGACTACATATTATACTTTGATATGAATAGAATACATAATAAGCATCTATGGGATATGCAATTAATGTCACTTTTGAGGAAAGACCCTCATAACACACTTGGGCTTTGGCATTCTTAAATTACGAGCTCTTTACAGCACACATGGGATAGATTCCATATGTCCCAAATGTTTTTTATACATCTTTCATTTCCCTTATTTCCTATTTTCTGGATTAGCAGTTGTTTTGCTGTGGTGGTTTCTAGTAATTTAATTGAGGAGGTTGTTGGTTATTGATAAATAATCTGCTAAATTATGGTATAGTTTCAGAATATTTATATCACATTTTATTTGTTATAACACATATCAGTGTGATTATGTATGACTACCAAGTTTTTTAAACTGATACTGGAAGTGTAAACATAGGGTAAAAATATAACTCTCAGTCATCAAAGTCAATATAATTACCCACCTTAAAAATTCTCTCTCTCAACAGGTTAAGAAATAGCTTCCTATTCAAAACACAGTTAATGATTGAAATATTCTTTTCTTTTCAATGAGCTTTATGTTATGTATTAAACATAAAATACAGAATGAGGGATTAGAAGGTGAAGAGCCAATGATACCTTGTCATACAGCACTGGGCATTCCCCCCAAATTACTCCTTTTGAAAACGCTGGCTTTTTTCCCCTCCTACAATATGTGAAGAATTATGATTAAGAATTGTGGGGAAGTATAATAAATTATTTGAAATATTGGTTAATAATTGTTAATATTTATTATTTCCTGTGGACTAGGCATTGTCCCTAAAGGCTTTACGTTGATTATCTTATCTATCCTCACAACACATTGAGATAGATGCTGTGATCATCCGCATTTTGAAGCTGAGGAAATCAAGGCTTATAAAGGCTTATTTAGATCAACTAGCTACCAAGAAGCTGAGCCAGGTTTTGAACTCCTGAGCCTACATTCATACTCTAATTTGACTAGAAATATGAGTGTGGTAGAAAACTAAGGTACCCAAAGGTACTATGTATCAGATGGGACCATGAGTCAAATGCAGGGTGAGCAGGTAAGCAGCAAAGACCAGCCAGGTATGAGGCCCGAAATTAGAGGAGTCTTGTTAGTGGGGATCAGAAACCAGCCTGGTAAGGAGGAAATGGAAAATCAAAGGCACTGGAGGGCCTGAGAGCTATAGCCATGCCAAGAATCAGGACAGAAAGAGCACAGCATCTTCTGCACAAAGGTAGCAGCATCAGAGATGTAGGTAAAATAATAAGCCACTGCCTGAGGCTTAACTCTTCTTGTCCAGGTCCAATACTGGCCTTATTTAGGTCAGGCCACTGGATAGAAAAATAA